ATCCACATAGTCAAAGGCTTTTGCATAGTCAATAAAGCAGAAGTAGATGATTTTCTGGAACTCTCTTCAGTAAGAGAGTTCGATGATCCAACAGATGTTGGCAATTTGATCTCTGGTTCCTCTGCCTATTCTAAATCCATCTTCAACATCTGGAAGTTCATGGTCCACGTCTAGTTGAAGCCTGGCTTGGAGAATGTTGAGCATTACTTTGCTACCATGTGAGATGAGTGCAATTGTGCAGTAGTTTGAACGTTCGTTGGCACTGCCTTTCTTTGGAATTGGAATGAAAACTGACCTTTTCTAGTCCTGTGGCCACTGCTGAGTTTTCCAGATTTGCTGGCATATTGAGTGCAGCACTTTCACAGCATCATCTTTTAGGATTTGAAATAGCTCAACTGGAATTCCATCACCTCCATTAACTTTGTTTGTAGTGATGCTTCCTAAGGCCCACTTGACTTTGCATTCCAGGATGTTTGGCTCTAGGTGAGTGATCACACCATCACAGTTATCTGGGTCAAGAAGATCTTTTTTGTATCATTCTTCCATGTATTCTTGCCACCTCTTCTTAATATCATCTGCTTCTGTTAGGTCCATAGCATTTCTGTCCTTTATTGTGCTCATCTTTGCATGAAACGTTCCCTTGGTATCTTTAATTTTCTTGAAGAGATCTCTAGTCTTTCCCATTCTGTTGTCGTTCTCTATTTCTTTGCATTGATCTCTGAGGAAGGCTTTCTTAGCTCTCCTTGCTAGTCTTTGGAACTCTGCATTCAAGTGGGTATATGTTTCCTTTTCTCCTTTGCCTTTAGCTTCTCTTCTTTTCTCAACTATTTTTAAGGCCTCATCAGACAACCATTTTGCCTTTTTGCACTTCTTTTTCTTGTGGATGGTCTTGATCACTGTCTCCTGTACACTCTCATGAACCTCCATCCATAGTTCCTCAGGCACTCTATCAGATCTAATCCCTTGAATCTATTTGTCATTTCCACTGTATAACTGTAAGGGATTTGATTTAAGCAAAAACAAGACCTGGAGCTGACTGTGGCTCAGATCATCAGTTTCTTATAGCAAAATTCAGTCTTAAACTAAAGTAAGTGGGGAAAATCACTAGGCCATTCAGCTATGACCTAAATCAAATTCCTTATGATTATACAGTGGAGGTGACAAATAGATTCAAGGGATTAGATCTGATAGTCAGAGTGCCTGAAGAACTATGGACAGAGGTTCATAACACTCTACAGGAGGCAGTGAACAAAACCATCGAAAAATGAAAAGAAATGCAAGAAAATTCACCCAGCTCTACTCTAATGATTTGGGCACTTTTTTTTCATGTTATGTTCAAAGAATATTTAAACACTTAAAAAAAATCATAAAAAACTTTCTCAGGCAGGGGAAGGAGAAGGTGGGACGAATTGAGAGAGTAGCATTGAAACATACACATTACCCATATGTAAAATTAGATAACCAGTGAAAATTTGCTTAGGATGGCAGGGAGCTCAACCTGGTGCTCTGTGACAACCCAAACAGGTGGGAAGGGGAAGGGGTGGGGTAGGGAGAGTTAAGAGGAAGGGGACATATATATACTTATTACTGATTTGTGTTGATGTATGGAAGAAACCAACACAATATTATAAAGCAATTATCGTCCAATTAAAAATAAAATTAAAAAAAACACCTCAGGAACAGCTACACAACCACCAACCGCCCCTCCCCCCAACAAGGTCACAAACTGAAGCAAATGTACTCACACCAGCAATGAAGGGTCACTTGTCTCATGCCCTCCTACAACAGCCCGGGCTGCGCTTAGTGCCTGGGGATCCCTCTGCAGTTTCCTCAGAATCTGCCCTATCTTCCCCTCCACCTGCCAGGACCTTCGGCCTCTAGTATTCTTTGGCGGCACCCATCGCAGCCCCGCCCAACCTGGGACTGTAAGAACAGGACGAAGCCACTCTGCCCTCTGGGGCTCTTAGTTCTAGGGCTCAGTCTCTCAGTCGAGTCCGACTTTTTGCGACCCCATGGACTGTGGCACGCCCGGCTTCCCGGTCCATCACCAACTCTCTGAGCTGGGGCTCTTAAACACACTACGAGTCCCAGAAGTCCCCACGGCGGAAATAAGCTTCCCTCCAGAATGACCATGGAGGGTCCTCTTCACAGTCTGAACTGCGGCCGAGCGGAGTGATTCTCCCCCACCCCCACCCCCACCCCCAAACCCAAGGAGTCAGCGGAGGACCCACAGGTCGTGCCTCATACCCTTGCAGGATTACGGTACCGAGGAGGGCTCGAAGAGGGCTCTGGATTGCAGGCTCTCTCGGGTCTTTCGGTGTTGGACTACATTTTCCAGAAACCCGCGGGTGTTACGTCACTTCCTACCAAGGTTTCAGCGCTGCTGTATTTAAACCAGTTGAGCGGCCCTGCGGCGTGGGGAGGGCAGAGTGTGAAACTACCTGGTCCGCTGGGATCCTGCAGGACGCAGGGGAAGCTGAAGATGAGGAGCTGTCTGAGCCGCGGTGCAGAGACCGGCCGTGCCTAGAGCCTCAGGCGTTAGAGCGCGCGCGCGCGCGTGTGTGTGTGTAACGTGATGTGCCTATGAGACTGCATGATTTTGTGTGTGAACACTTGCGAGAGTGATAATTGTATCTTCAGAGAATGACTAGGTAAAGAAACTTGTCTTTAAGTCAGGCGTTAGCGCGCCTCTGTGTGTGTGTGTGTGTGTGTGTGTGTGTGTGTGTAACGTGATGTGCCTATGAGACTGCATGATTTTGTGTGTGAACATTTGCGAGAGTGGTAATTGTGTCTTCAGCGAATGACCAGGTAAAGAAACTTGACTTTAAGTCAGAGACCCGATCGCAGAATGAGAATTTTAGAGCCAGAAACAAACGGAGGTAGTGAGATTCAAATCTCGCCCCTCAGTAATTCCCCGGGTCAACCTGTAGGGATTCTCCACTTCCACTCTGGTTCCCGGAAAGGGAGGGCGTCATTGCTCAAGTCACTCACCAACTTTCTGCTGAGTGTCTATTTTAATTCAGGAATGGGGTGATGTCAGGGAAATTAAATGGAAGTAGCCTTGTTCAGACTAAAGAGACAAGAAAGCACAGCGGGTCTCTGACCCTGCTTCTGACCTGCCTGCACACTGCCCTTACAACGTGCCTGTTCCGCAGTGCGCCGATTGTTCCAAAGGAGCCGAGGGGCACTATAAATAAGATAAGGGAGCGGGTCTTGGGAATTTGAGCCCTTGGAGGGGATCTGACCAACCACACCCCGGGTTAACTAAATCCTTTGACTTGCTAGATAGATAAACAGCATTGTAAAAAAGATTAATTGAGTTTCAGAGCTGCAACTTGCTAGTAAACTGATGATGGTTATCAGTTTTCCGCGGAAATTTTAAGCAAGAACTGCAATTTTGAATTCTCACCCGTGGGTTGTACACACCGCCGGGGACTGTTTCGAAACTGCGACTCCAGATTGCTGTTACAGGGGATTTCCCCGTGCTGTTTGGTTCTGGATGCTAGTGGACTCCAGATAGATGATGTATATGCTGTTGCAGTTTTATTGTTTCTGTTTCTTTTTTTTTTTCTTTTAAGGATTGTATATTGAAAGTAAGTTAGATAATTCTCTATTAAATATTGAAATTGTTTGAGCGGTTTCTTTTGTTAACACATCCTTTGACCCTGAAATGGAAATTAAAACTTTGAGCAAAACAGGAGCATGGGGATGGGGCAAGGGGGTGTAGAAGATGTTGTTTCTAATAAGTCAGTCTGGGCTGAAAGAAAGGCTTGGTGTCTGAAGATTCTTTAATTCTTACCGACTTCTCTTACACTGGTGACCAGAGACCAAGGGAAGAGCAGCTGTTGGACAATCAAGCATTTTATCCAAGGTAAGTTGTTTTTGTCTTTTTTGTCTCTGTATTGCTTTCTGGATTTTCAGGATTTATCTTTCTATGTCTTGAAAATCCACAGCAAGGATCCTTTCAGTGATCTGGTTCTTGGGCCTTGCTATTCCAAAGAGTAATCAGGGTTGGGGAAGTGCTAGAGGAATGCACCCAGAGAAGCTGTTCCACTCCATATCTCTCCTTTTAACCTGAGGTACCCATATTCATGTGCCAAATATTTTAATACTGCCTGTATGCTTAGTCCTTTTCTATGAATTTTGAAGAAATACAATAAATCCCACAGAGTGAAACTTGAAGCCTTTCTTTTAGTATTTCCTTCTCAGGTTTGTTAAGAGATGATACTATAAGTATTTAAAATATTCAAAAGAGTGTTCAGCGAATTCTCCCTCCCAGCTCTGCCCTTTGTCATGTAGTTTTCCCACTTCAAAGGCAAACAGTGTGACCAGTTTCTTGAGTACTTCCAGGGGGATCCTCTACATACATTACTATATGAAGGGTTACTCTTGTTTTATAGCTGAACTGTATTTCATACTTCTATAATTTTAAAAACTGACCCTTATTAACTTNTGGTTTTTCCAGTAGTCATGTATGGATGTGAGAGTTGGACTATAAAGACAGCTGAGTGCCAAAGAATGGATGCTTTTGAACTGTGGTGTTCAAAACTGTGAAGAGGAATTGAGAGTTTTTAGCCATAACATCAGTGTTGAGTCAAGATAGCACTTGTGAAATATTTATCACAGGCTCATCGTATCTCATGCCACACACAAAAATTTATTCAAAATACACCATCAACCTAAATATAAGAGTATAGGCAGCCAAAGGGAAAAAAATACATAAATTGGACTTCCTCAAAATTAAAAACTTACCAGCTTCAAAGTAAACAAAGTGAAAATATAGCCCACAATGCATGTACACTAGGTCACTACAGTCGTATCCGACTCTTCGCAACCCTGTCAAGTTGCTCTGTTCATGGGATTCTCTAGGCAAGAATACTAAAGTGGGCTGCTATTCCCTTCTCCAGGAGATCTTCCTGACCCAGGGATCCAACCCATGTCTCTTATGTCTCCTGCATTGGCAGGCAGGTTCTTTACCAGTAGTGCCACCTGGGAAGCCCCAGGTGTATAGCCTACAAAGTAGGATCCAAAATTTGAAAATTACATGTTCAAGAAGGAATTGGATTTTTTAGAGTGTGTGAGGAATTATTACAACTCAACAATAAAAAGACAAATATCCAGTGTGTTATTTTTCTTTGGCCGAGTCATGTGGCATGCCTGATCTTGGCTCCCCCACCAGATATTGAATCTGTTCCTCCTATGGTGGAAGCACAAATTCTTAACCACTGCATCCCTAGGGAAGTCCCCAGGCAGTTTTCTGTTAAAGGATGTTCCCCACTTCTACTCCCAAGGGCCCGGGTTTCAGTCCCTGGTTGGGGACCTAAGATCCTACAAGCTGCATTACCAAAATAAATAAATACAGTTAGAAATAAAGATCAAGATGGAGGGGATATATGTATACTTATGGTTGACTTACATTGTTGTATGGGATAAACCAACACAGCATTGTAAAGCAGTTATTCTCCAGTTAAAAATTAATTAAAAAAGAAAACATAAAAACAAAAGGATGCTTTGGGTTTGTTCCTTGGTTACTGGATGAGTCTAGTGTGACTTCATGTGGCCTGGATGAAACTTCGGACTCAAAATATTTCTTGCACCTGGAACATGAGAACAAGTCAGGGCGGCACTCTGTGGTATGTAGTGTGTTGGGCCTGGGGAAAAAACGCAGATCTTAGTTGTGTGAAGTATTTGTTTCAGGATTTGGCCTACATGGATATAGTGCACTTCTAGGCCTGAGAGCCCCATCAGTATCCTTGAAGCAGGAATGACTTGGGTACATTTTGGATCAGGGCCCCCTAGTCTGAAAAGGTGAACTACTCAGGACAGGTCAGCGAACCCTAGGAACATCATAGGAGTTGGGTATTGCTTTAGCATAAGTTAATTCTGTATCTGTGTTTTTTGGTATTGAGGAAGGCATTTGATTTTTTTAGATTTCTGCAAATCTTGGTATGTGTTTCTGCAAATCTTGGGCATGGAAGGAACCAGGTGCCATGAAAAGGGAAGGAAGTATTTATTTTAACTTAGTTATTTAGAACCAAGCCTATTCTCATGGTTCATTTTACTTCCTTGACTCTCTTCTCAGGACTCTGCACTTTTCCAAAAGAAGAAGCCAGAGGAGGACTAATAATTTGCCGTTCTAAGCCATGCTCCATGTGAGTTGATGTTTTTCCTTCCCTTCATCAAATAGTCTTGTTTTCTAGGATATAAATGCTCAATATTCTTACCTCCAGATTTTCTGCCTTACTAAGCCCCGGCCCTCTCTTCTCTAGCCATATTTGGGATCCATTCTGCAAATCAGGAAACGTATTAAGGAAAGAGTAGAACCTCTCCTGTCAGTGTGGTTTGATGAGATAGGACTACATATGCAATATTCAGTCTTTGTCATTGACTCTATTTTCTGAATGATTAGGATAGAAATTGCTGTTTATCTCAGAATGTGGTGAGATCTTTGGTCTGTGAGGCTTTAAGATTGAAATGTGATCAAATGCAGGACTGAGAACAAAGAGAGTATCATGTCCGTGAATATCTCAGAGGTGAATACCAGTGACAAGGTCCATTTTGAATCTGAATAACATGTGTAAGTCAAGGGCCATGTCTATGTGAGTTTATGTCATCTTTCATTGGCTTTCTGTTGCTCAGAATAAGCGATGTGTACAGTGAGCAATGATGAGTGGTAACAGAGCCAGAGAATTAGGTAGTTGAGAATTTTAGAAACCGAGCTGACATTAGAGAAGGAATACAAACTAAATACCAAAAAACAATAAGAAAATGATTGCAGGGAATTCCCTGGTGGTCCAGTGGTTAGAACTCTGCACTTTCACAGCCGAGGGCTGGGGTTCAGTCTCTGGTAGGGTACTAAGATCCCATTAGCTCTACATTGCATGGGATGGGAGGAGGGAAAGGAAGGAAAAGAAAATGATTACAGGGCTTCCATCGTGGTCCAGTGGTTGGGAAGCCACCTTTCAATACAGGGAACACTGGTTCAAGCCCTGGTCTGGGAAGATCCCACATACCACGGGGCAATTAAGCCCATGCACCACAACTTCTGAGCCTGAGCTCTGGAACCCGTGAGCCACAACTACTGAGCCCATGTTTGGGAACTACTGAAGCCCATCTGACTAGAGCCTGTACTCCGCAACAAGAGTATGACTCCGCACAATGAGAAGCCCACACACCACAGTGGAGAGTAGCTCCCATTCTCCACAGCTAGAGAAAGCCTGAGTGCACCAATGAAAGTCCAGTGTAGCCAAAAATAAATAAAATGTTTTTTAAAAAGGAAAGAAAATGATTACAATCATAATATATATATACCTTGTAAAAATTATGTCTGTGAAAGGATTTGCCAGGACAAGGGAGAAAATTATTGCTGTTATTCTGAGTTGGAAATAAACCCTTAAATTACATAGAAATATTATTTTCTAAGATAAATATTTAAAAGGATATTTGGAATGGGCCCATCAGGTTTGTTTTTCTTTTTTCTCCCTTCTTTCTTCCATTCTCTCCTTCTTCCCTCCCTTCCATCCTTTCTCTTACTTATTTTCAGTTCTTTAAAGGGAAGAGAGGAGGAAGGAACTTGCAACTTATTTGGGAATTTGCATGTGTTATGTGCTTGCACAGACTTTTCAGGTAGTGCTTGTGGTAAAGAACCTGCCTAACAAATGCAAGAGACGTAAGAGATGCGGGTTCAAGCCCTGGGTTGGGAAGATCCCCTGGAGGAGAGCTTGGCAACCCACTCCAGTATTCTTGCCTGGAGAATCCCATGGACAGAGGAGCCCAGTGGGCTACTGTCCATAGGGTTTTAGTGAGTCGAATATGACTGAAGCGACTGAGCATTCATGCATGGGCTTGCACACAGTATTTCATTTAATCAGAAAACTCTACTCACCTGGCTTTTGTTCATTCCTATAACTGTTCATGAGAAGCTATAATAGAGTAATAGGAATGTTTAGAAACTATGTAGGTGCTCTGCATTTATCACATAATTTCCTTTCCATTACTTAACCTTATTGCAAACTTTTTTCTCTTTTGGCCACTTTATGTGATACTTTCCTTCTCTCATTACTTCTAGAAAATATTTTTTTGTTTTACCACTAACACTGGATTTGTCATCTCAGAGGTTAGTGTTGTTCAAGGATGTGGCCGTAGACTTCTCTCGGGAGGAATGGGGATACCTGGACTTGGAACAGAAGGATCTGCACAGAGATGTGATGCTGGAAAGCTACAGCAACCTGGTCTCACTGGGTAAGCTTGTCTGCGCCTAATAATTCAACCTGTCTTTGTGAAATTTAGAAAAGTTTCCAAGTGCCTAGCTGAATTTCAGACCTCTAGTCCCAAATAAATTTTTTGTGCTTTATAGACTTAGAAATGGACAGCTCCATTGGGCACCTGTATCTTCTGTATTCTTCATAGATCCTTCGTCTTACTCTTTCTATAACTGACCTTGTTACTTGCTGAACAATGTGCTCCATTTTAAGCAGAGTGTAACCATATCCATTTTCACTTATAAACAGGAGTTTCCACTTCTAAGCCAGACATGCTCTCCTTATTGGAGCAAGGGAAAGAGCCTTGGAAGGTTGTACAGGATGTGACAAGAGATCTGAGCCCAGGTGAGTAGTTAATGATCAGGCAAAGGGAGGCCATTGTTAAAATTGCTTAATTTTAACTTTTTTTTTGCCAGTTGCTTAATTGGCCACATCTTCGAGTTATTAGCTTGGAAGTTCTCAAAGACCCAACCAATGCCTTTTTCTCCTAGGCCTGTGGAGTAAAAATCCTGAGCCCTGGAGGACAAAACTGTTTACCTACGGAATACCCTAAGGTAATTTTAGGCTTACAGAAAAACTGAACAAAGCCCAGAGAGTTCCCACATGCCCTCTTTCCAGTTTTGTTCCATTTACTACTTTCCTGATTTTCTTTCATTTTCTCCTGTATTTTCAAACAGGGGATTGCCTTCCTTTTCCAATGGTAATCATTTTACTATTTTATATTTCTGATCCGGTGACACCTGTATGAGAGTCTATCCAGCAAATATTTTTAAATACCCTCTGTATTCTAAGTATTGAGAATATAGCAGTAAACAAGAAAAATTCTCTATCCCCATTGATATAGCAGAAGAAATACAATAGGAACAAATAAAAACATACAAAGAATGATGATTTTTATGAAGAAAAACAAAAAGCATAGAAAATCACAAAGTAATGGGGTGAGTGTTCTTTTAGAGAGAGTGGTTAAGGATGACTCTCTGAGGTGCTCACATTTGAGGGGTAATATGAGTCAAGTAAGCCATGCAAATTCTAGGTTAACAACAGTTTTTTGTTTTGTTTAGTTTTCTGGGTTTTGTTTGTTTTCTGGCCATACCTTGAGACTTGTGGGATCTTGGTTCCCCAGAGTCTGAACACAGGCCCTTGGCAGTGAAAGCGAAGAGTCCTAACCCCTGGACTGCCATGGAATTCCCAAGAAGACTAGTTTAAGGCAGAGAGACTAGCAATAGTAGGGGAAGTTAGAAGTAGGAATGAGTTTGATGCTTTTGAGGATCAACAGATAAACAAGTGTGGCTAAGGTGAGTTTGGGAGGACAGAAATAAAGTAATGTATCAATATAGATTAATCAGTTTTAACTAATGTACTGCACCAATACAAAATATTAAGTTATTACTAGTAAGGAAAGCTGGAGGGGCAAAGAAGGGGGTATGTGGGAACTCTCTGAGCTTTGTTCAGCTTTTCTGTAAGCCTAAAACTACTCTAAGAAATAAAGTCTTAATTTAAAAACTAAAGATAAAAAAAAACCCTAAACTATAGCATGAGTTCATACCAATTCAATTCTAATCTAAATTATAGGCTTTTTATTTAACCCTTTAAAAAATCTTATAGCTGCATCTATTTTCTTTCGTGCCAAGAGACCCAGTTATCATGGACACTAAGAATAGTAGGATTAGAATATCACATGATTACCTACTGTATCCCACATTATACAGGAAGCCTCTAAAATAAGATCTACACTACCAGTAATAATATGATTACTCAAAACAATTTGAGATAATTGTTTTGCCCATTTTCTATTCCCTTCATAGGGTATATCTGACAGTCAAATTGCTATGTTTGAGGTAGTTTCCTTGTATGGTTATGCTACCAATTTTAAATATGGGTTTATTTTTTGTTGCTGTTTTCAATTTTTAAGCTGTGCTTTCTTGTAATTTAATTTTGTTTTATAATTATGCAATATAATTATGTACTACCTAAGTCAAATGTCCAAAACAGATTATATTCAAAGAAATCTGACTTCTATCCCAGGCTTCTTCACATTTCCCACCCTGTAACTATGGAGTTTAATCCTCCCCCCTTTCAAAAATAAAAGCAAATGTGTATTTTACATTTATACTTCTTCCACTTTCTCTCCTTCCTAAGATAAAAAGAGTGCTCGCTTCGGCAGCATATATACTAAAATTGGAACGATACAGAGAAGATTAGCATGGCCCCTGTGCAAGGATGACACGCAAATTCATGAAGCATTCCATATTTTTGACAACCCTGTATGCAAAACAGAAAAAGAGACACAGATATACAGAACAGACTTTTAGACTCTGTGGGAGAAGGCAAGGGTGGGATGTTCTGAGAGAATAGCACTGAAACAAGTATGCTATCAAGGGTGAAATGGATCACCAGCCCAGGTTGGATGCATGAGACAAGTGCTCAGGGCTGGTGCACTGGGAAGACCCAGAGGGATGGGATGGATCTTACCAGGGTTTGAACCTGTGCCCCCTGCAGCGAAAGTGCAGTCATAATCACTGGACTGCCAAGGAAGTCCTGCTAGTACAATTTTGAGATAGATTTAGCGTAAGTATAAATATCTTTACTTATCTATTTTTTCCCAGCTTGTCATTTTACTTTCCTTAATGTGTTTTTAACATGCTTTTTTTTTTTTTTTTAACTCTAATATGGTCTTTTTTTTTTTTTTTATAAAGTTATGGTTTGGAAAAATTTCCCCATTCTTCAGTTATAGAAAAGTCTCCTAAGTTTTATTCTAGTTATTTGTACGTTTTCATTTTTGTAAGGACATCTGTTCCATTTGGAATATATCCTATGTAATGTCTAAGGTACTGATGCAATTTCATCTTTTTTTTTTTTAATGTTTATCCTTAATGCTGTGTTGTGGGCTTTTTTGTTGTTTTTGTTTTAAGGGAGAAGGAAAGTTTAATTCTTTGCAGCAAGTAAGAACCCTGGGCTTCCCAGGTAGCACATTGGTCAGGAATCTGCCTGCCAGTGCAGGAGATGCAAGAGACAAAGGGTTCAATCTCTGGATTGGGAAGATTCCTTGGAGTAGGAAATGGCAGCCCACTCCAGTGTTCTTGCCTAGAAAATTCCATGGACAGAGGAGCTTGGCTGCCTACAGTCTATGGGTCTGTAAAGAGTCAGAAATGATTGAGCATGCACAAGGAGAACCTTGGGGATCTTTCTCAGATCAGTGTCTCCTATGTTTATCCTTATGTTTATTGCTTTCATTTATTAAGAAAGAGTCCATCTCTTCGCAACTGATTTTAGCTGCTACCTTTATTGTAGGCTAAATTTACAATTATAATTGTGTCTATTTCTGGATTTTTCTTTTCTGTTCCATCGGTTCCATTGACATTTTATGATAGTCAGTTTGAGTCAGCTATTTATAGCCATAGAAATTTCACTTTTCCAGGAATCTGAAAATAACATTTGTTTACTTGTTATCTTATAGACTGGGAGTCCAGGTGTGAAACCAAAAAGCTACCATCAAAAAGAGAAATTTATGAACTAGAAGCATCTCAATTGGAAATAACAGAACAACTTACAAGCCAAAAGTGTGACTGCAAAAGTTTTCAAAATGATAGGGAATGCAGAGACCAGTTTGAAAGCCAACTAGGAAATAAAGAGGATTCTAGACAACTAGTAATCTATGAAGAAATGCCTAGTCAGACTACATCCCTTACATTACAACAGAAAATTCATTCATCTGAAAAATTCTATGAATGTAAAGCATGCAGAAAGTATTTTATCCTTGGCTTTTAACAGACTGAACATCAGAAAAATTGTTCTGATGAAAAATTCTATGAATGTAAAGAATGTGAAATGACCTTTATTAAGGACTTACAACTTACCATCAGAGAGTTCATGTTCCTAAGACTGTGAATGTAAGGAATGTGGAAAAGCCTTCATTTGTGCTTCACAGCTTATTTATCATCAAAGAATTCATACTGGAGAGAAACTTTATGAATGTAAAAGTGTGGAAAAGCCTTTATTCGTGCCTCGCAACTTATTTATCATCAAAGAATTCATACTGGTGAAAGACCCTATGAATGTAATGAATGTGGGAAGGCCTTCTTTTGTGGCTTGCACCTTACTTACCATCAAAGAGTTCATACTGGTGAGAAACCCTATCAGTGTAAGGAATGTGGAAAAGCCTTTAATCGTGGCTCCCTCCTTACCTGACATCAAAAGACTCACATTGGTGAAAAACCCTTTGAATGTAAAGAATGTGGAAAGACTTTTATTTGTGACTCAGAACTTACTCAGCATGTGAGAATTCACACTGGTAAGAAACCCTATGAGTGTAAGGCATGTGGGAAGTCCTTTATTCGTGGCTCACATCTTACTCAGCATCAGAGAATTCATACTGGCAAAAAGCTGTAGGTATGTAAAGAATGTAGAATGGCCTTTATGCAGAGTTCACATCTTTCTCAATATCAGAGACTTCATACTGATGAGAAACCCTACATATGTAATGAATGTGGAAAGTCCTTTATTCGTGGCTTTCAACTTATGGGACATCAGAGAATTCATACCAGTGAGAAACCCTATGTATGTAATGACTGTGGGAAAGCCTTTCGTTATGATTCACAGCTTTCTCCACATTATAGATTTCATACTGGTTACAAGCCTTATAAATGTAAAGATTGTGAGATTTTCTTTATCCTTGGCTCACAACTTACTGAACATCAAAGGATCCATACAGGTAAGAAACCACATGAATGTAAGCAGTGTGGAAAATTGTTTAATTATGGCTCACAGCTTGTTCGACATCAGAGGACTCATACTGGTGAGAAACCTTATGAATGTGAAGAATGTGGGAAATCATTTATTTGTGGTTCACACCTTGCTGAACATCAAAGAACTCACACTGGTGAAAAACCCTATGAATATAAAGAATGTGGAAAGGCCTTTGCTTATGGATCACAACTGTCTCAACATTAGAAAATTCATACAGGTGAGAATCTCTAGGAATGTAAGCACTGTGGGAAGATCTTTATTTTGTGCCTCACAACTTAATCTACATCAGATTTTTCATACTGGGAACCATATGAATATAAGAAATGTGGTAAGACTTTTTTATTTGTAGTTCACAGCTAATTTACTATCAGAGAGTTCATACTGGTGAGAAACATTACAAATGTAACTAATATGGGAAGGCCTTTAATTGTGGATCACAACTTAACATCAGAGAATTAATTCTGGTGAGAAGCCTTATAAATGTAATGCATATGGTAAGGACTTTAGATGTCATTCACACCTTACTCAACATCAGAAACCTCATAATGGAGAAAGACTGTGTGAAAAATTAATTTAGTAAATCCTTTCCATGTTTATCGATAACATTCAACTTTGGAATATCAGAAAATTCAGATTATTAATATGAGTATCCTTTTTTATTTAAACTCATGAGTAACTCACCTTCAGAGAATTCATAGTTAAAAGAGGCTAGATTAATATAAGTGCAGAATTACTTTCCATCGTATTTCAATCTTTGCTAGACAGTGATTCATATGAAAGCTCAACCCTAAAAGGTAGGGTTCTCTTGTTCAGCATCATTGTTTTGTTCAGTATCATTTGAGCTCCACCATTTACTGTCTGGGTGTTTCTTTGGGAAAGTTACTTAACCCCAGTTTGTTTTAGTTTCCTCCTTAATAATACATTGATATCACATATGTCATCATAGTTTTCTGCAGTTTAAAGGAGTAAATACATATAAAGCCTATAGAAATGTGTCCTACATAGTTAATGCTTAGTAAATGTAAAGATTACTTTTAGTTTGTGTTTTAATCATACTACAGAATTCAAAAGAGAAGGAGACTTTACAAATACAGTGAGAGTGAAGTGTTAGTTATTCAGTCGTGTCTGACTCTTTGCAACCCCATGGACGATAGCTTTCCAGGCTCCTCTGTCCATGGAATTCTCCAGGCATGAATACTGGACTGGGTTGCCATTCCCTTCTCTGGGGGATCTTCCCAACCCAGGGATCAAACACAGATCTCCCACATTGCAGGCAGATTCTTTACCATCAGGGCCACCAGAGACAAATACAGTACACAAGGTAAATCTTTCATCACTTTTACTAAGTGTCAGATAAATCATTTTGGAACAAAACATTCTAATATAATTAATGTGCAATTATACTTTGTTCTGAATCAAAATTCTTACTAAAAGGGAACCCTAAGAGGAGAAAAGTATTTTGCTCTTAAAAATAAAGCTGCTTTCGAACATTTTTGTATAAGTTTTTACATGAACATAAATTTCCATTTCTCTGGTATAAACATTTAAGTGAGTCATTTTAAATGAATGCTTCTCTTACAAGAAATGGACAAATCATTTTCCAAAGTGACTTTTTCATTTTATATTTCCACCAGGAACATGAGTGACCCAGTTTTCTCTGTAGCTCTACCAGCATTTGACTTTTTCACCACTTTTTATCTTAGTCATTCTGATAGGTGTGTAGTTATAATCTCTTGGTGGTTGTAATTTCCATTTCCCTAGTGGCTCATTATGATGTGCTTTTTTGCCATCTCTACCCATTGTGGTGATATGACTTTGTCTTTTACTCCTTCATTTTTTAGTTGTATATTTTTTTTAAAAACTGTTTGGATTGTGAGCGTGCTTTCTTTATTCTAGATGATACTAGTCATTTGTTGGATATGTAGTTTGCAAAAAATTTTCCCAGTGCATACCTTATCTTTTCATACTTTTAGCAAGGTCTTTTGATGAGCAAAAGACCTTTTGATTAGCAGACCTTTTGATAAGGTCTGGCTTATTACTTTTTACTTTTAGGGATCTTGATTTTGGTGTCAAATCTAAGGACTGCTTGTCTAGCTCCAGATCTCAGAGATCTTCTTTTATGTTTTCCTAAAGTTTTCATGGTTTTATGTTTTGCAGTTAAGTGATCCATTTTAAGTTAATATTTGCATATATTATAAGCTTTAGCTTCATGTTCTTATTTGTTTTGGCTTATGGGTGTCCAGTTGTGTAGTGGGAATTCCTAATAATGTACTTTCACAGCCTTGAGAAATCACAGCCACCTGGAAACACAGCATATATTAAGAAACTGTGTTAATTATTATTTCTCATGTTTTTCTTAAGAATAATTGCCTTGTTACAAACCCCAAGGTCAGACCCAGAAGGGAGTAAGACTGGGATCATGAAAGCATGAACCTTGGAACACTGGATTGGCACCAGGCATGATTGCTGCCTAATTACTTGCTAATTGTTACCAAGGTGAGCCCAGAAGGGAACGGCCAGGGGTAAAAACAGAGATCTGGACTATGTCTGTGTAGTCCGTGACATTTAGGAGTACATGATTAAGACAGTGTGTGTCTTGAGAAAGATAAGCTCTGAGAAAGTCTTATAGTCTGCAATTAGGAATAAAAGCTGGACTCAGAGTGGACTCTGCACCTCAGTCCAATAGAGCTGCAGGTCCCCTGACCCACTGCACCAGATTTCATGTTCTGTCTTCATTCTCATCACTTGCTCCCGGACCATTAGGGCAACAATTGGCACCCAACGTGGGGCTAGAGTGAAAGACTGCTACCAGAGAAAAAAACTACAGTGATGCAGAACCTGGGACGGTTGAGAGGCCTTTGAAAATACCCGCTGGTAAGTCATTCAGGCATTTAATCAGGGTTAAAATGGGAAATGTTGAGAGTGCAGAACACTGTCGCCCATATATTTGTTTATTAAGACAGCTCTTGAAAGCAGGAAGAGCTTTTGTTAGTGAAGGGTGATTATTAGAATTGTTGCAAGCAGTGGATAAATATTGCTGCTGGTTCCCATCAATAGGAACCTTAGATTTGGAAGTCTGGGAAAAGGTTGGAGCCGAGTTAAAGAACATTCAAAAGGAACTCCGCTCCCTGTTTCTATTTGGAGTATGTGTTAATTAAGTCAGTACTGGAACCTTTGCAGACTTCTGATTCTTTTGATGAAGGTGATGATGACTCTTGAAAAAGATGATGAGGGATTTTTTTTTCCTCTGCCTCCTTCCCCTTTCCTCCACCACCCACCTGCCTTTGCAGGGAACATCTTCAGTCCAGAGTCTATGCCCACTCCTCATCTTTCATCCATACAGAAAGGAATTTTCCCAGCACAACGGGAAGGAGATTTGAAGGCTTTTCGTACTGCCTTTCCCATGACTATTCATGAGAGTTCCTGGTGTCAATCCTAACAACCCTAATGGAATCTACGAGGTTATTCATGAATCTTTTCCTTTTAAAATCCTAAAGGAATTAAAAGAAGCAGTACAAAATTATGGTGTAAATTCTCCATTCAGGGTGGGAATAATTCAGGGTGTGGCAGAGGGCAATTGCCTCATTCCAGCAGATTGGTCGGCATTAGCAAAAACAGTGTTAGCCCCAGGGGAATTTTTTCAATTTAGTACTTGGTTTCAGGATCATGCTTAACTCCGCTCCCTGTTTCTATTTGGAGTATGTGTTAATTAAGTCAGTACTGGAACCTTTGCAGACTTCTGATTCTTTTGATGAAGGTGATGATGACTCTTGAAAAAGATGATGAGGGATTTTTTTTTCCTCTGCCTCCTTCCCCTTTCCTCCACCACCCACCTGCCTTTGCAGGGAACATCTTCAGTCCAGAGTCTATGCCCACTCCTCATCTTTCATCCATACAGAAAGGAATTTTCCCAGCACAACGGGAAGGAGATTTGAAGGCTTTTCGTACTGCCTTTCCCATGACTATTCATGAGAGTTCCTGGTGTCAATCCTAACAACCCTAATGGAATCTACGAGGTTATTCATGAATCTTTTCCTTTTAAAATCCTAAAGGAATTAAAAGAAGCAGTACAAAATTATGGTGTAAATTCTCCATTCAGGGTGGCAATAATTCAGGGTGTGGCAGAGGGCGATTGCCTCATTCCAGCAGATTGGTCGGCATTAGCAAAAACAGTGTTAGCCCCAGGGGAATTTTTTCAATTTAGTACTTGGTTTCAGGATCATGCTGAGACTCTGGCTACACATAATCACACTCATAGTATCCCTATTTTGTTGGAAAAACTTATGGGGATAAGTCCACAGGGGAGAGTGCAAGATCAAATACGTATGAATGATCAAGCTATAGAACAATTGCGAAGGTGTTGCTTTAGGGCCTGGGAAAAAATAGAGTCAAAAAGCCAGACTTCTGTTTCCTTTCAAAAAATTCTCCAGGGGCCTAAGGAGCCCTATACTGAATTTACTGCCTGATTACAAGAGGCAATCCAAGGACAAGTTACAAATGCCGAGGTGGCAGATGTCATATTACAATTGTTGGCTTATGATAATGCTAACACTGATTACAAGAAAGTAATGAACCCTTTTAAAGGAAATGCTAGTTCAAATGATTATGTTAAGCTATTCCAGGGAGTAGGAACCAAATCCTTTAAAGCTGATTTATTAGCTCAGGCTATGACTGGATTACGACTTTCTAAATTCCCCCAGCACTTGTTTTAATTGTGGGAAACCTGGACATACAAGAATTGAATGTAAGTTCAAAAAGAACTTTCAGAAAGGTAATTCACAAAAGGGGAATGTCCCTGGCCTCTGCCCAGAATGTAAAAAAGGAAATCATTGGGCAAATCAATGGCATTCTAAATTTCATAAGGATGGCTCCCCACTTTTGGGAAACAGCCTCTGGGGCAAGCTCCCAACCCTGACAAACAAGGGAGCCTATCCTGTTCAGACTCCACAAGTGTCTCTCAACTACTCCCGTCAGCAACAACAGTCAGAATTACCATGCCATGTCAGGGAATTATCCCCAGCAACCCAAGGAAACACAGCCCTTGATATAAGTAGTAGTCAGGATTTTATTGCTACTCCTGTAGAGACACTAGCTATTATTTCAACAGGAATATTTGGACCGCTTCCACAGGGGACAGTTGGATTATTATTAGGAAGATCGGGGACTGACTTCCCAGGGAGTTCAAATTCATACCGGAGTTATAGACAATGATTATGAAGGAGAATTGAAGATTATGGTCTCTATCACTCTTACCTGGAAGGTTTCTAAAGGGGGTAGAATTGCTCAGCTTTTAATTCTACCTTATGTGGGTATAGGACATTCAAACAAAAAGCGGGCTCCAGGGGATTTGGAAGCACAGGCCAGGCTGTTATTTTTCTCACTGAAAAGATTTTGGAATCCAAACCCACTTATCAAAAACTTTCAAGGTTTAATAGATACTGGAGCCAATGTTTCTATCATCTGCTCTCAACATTGGCCTAAAGCATGGCCAGCTAGGCCTGCTCCAATATCTCTTATAGGTCTGGGACAGGCACAAGGACTAAAAGTGCAATGGTATTGTCTTATTCAGGGCCTGATAAACAACCAGCTACTATCTAACCTTATATTGCTGATATACCTATCAATCTATGGGGTCGTGATCTCTTGTAACAATGGCATGCTGAGATACATATTCCTCCAAATCAATATAGCGAGATCAGTCGCCAAGTTATGTTCAGTCAAGGTTATATACCAGGGTTGGGACTGGGCAAAAATCAACAAGGAAGAATTTATCCTTTGGCTGCTCAAGATTTTAAGCTGCCCCCTTTTCAGTAGTGGTCACTGCTCATATTAATCTTCCTCCACCTACACCCATACCTCTTAATTGGAAAACTGATCAACCTGTGTGGATAGAGCAGTGGCCCCTAAAACAAGAAAAATTGGAGGTTTTACATGAATTAGTTAATGAACAACTTAACAAGGGACATATTATTGAGTCCTTTATCCTTTGGAATTCTCCAGTGTTCGTTATACAAAAGAAATCTGGTAAATGGAGAATGCTTACTGATCTGAGAACTGTTAATGCTGTTATTGTTCCAATGGGTGCTTTACAGCCTGCCCTGCCTAATCCTAGTACGATTCCAAAAAATTGGCATTTGTTTGTTATTGACCTCAAAGATTGTTTTTTCACTATTCCTTTATACCCTGATGATCTATCTAGATTTGCCTTTTCAGTTCCTTCCATTAATTTAAAAGCCACATAAAAGATTTCAATGGACTGTATTACCTCAAGGTATACTTAATAGTCCCACTATTTGTCAAAATTTTGTAGCCAAGGCTTTACACCCAGTGTCACAGCAATTCTCTCATGCATATATCATTCATTATATGGATGATATACTATGTGCCTTGCCTTAAATTGATAACCTGCAGGAATTGTTTTTAAAGCTAAAGGAATGCTTGGAATGTACTGGCTTGTATATAGCTCCTGATAAATTATAATACACTGAACCTTTTCAGTACTTAGGAAATATAGTCACCTGTACTACAATCAAACCACAAAAGCTACAAGGATGCAGAGACTCAATTAAAATTTTAAATGACTTACAAAAATTACTAGGAGATAATAACTGGATTCGACCTAACTTAGGGATTCCAGCTTATTCTTTATCCCATTTATTCTCTCTATTAAGAGGAAATCCAGAGCTTAATAACTCCTGGCAGCTAACTCCTGAGGCTGAGAAAGAACTAACAGTTATAGAACAAGCTATACAAAACTGCCAAATAGACAGAATAGACCCTTTAGAGCCTTTCCAGCTGTTTGTCTTTCTTACCCCTCATTCCCCTACTGGGTTGATTATGCAAACTCCTTTATTACTTGAATGGGTATTCTTAGCTAATTCACAAACAAAATCTGTTACCCCTTATTTAGATATGATAGCCATTATATAATTCTAAAAGGAAGAGAGTGTGTTCAGCAGCTTACTGGAAATGATCCCTGCCTTATTTGCACTACACCAACCTCCAAAGAATTAAAACATTCTCTTCTAAATTCATTATCTTGGCAACTAGCTTTAGCTGACTATGTTGGACAGATTGACAACCACTATCCTGACTTGCCTATCTTGACGTTTTTAAAACAAACAAGATGGATTTTGCCTAGAATTACTAGTGTCAACCCTGTTCCATCCATTCCTCTCATTTTTACAGATGGCACTAGCCAAGGAAAAGCAGGATATACAGGCGCATTTATGCTAGTTATTGAAACACCTGAATATTCTGCACAATAAGCAGAAATTCTGACTGTTATGCACGCATTACAAAATATTCCCCTAGCAGTTAATATCTTATCTGATTCTCAATATTCTGTACTTGTCACTAAACATATAGAAACAGAAACTATTGAGGATACTATCCCATCCACACTGTATACACTTTTTACAAATTTACAACAGGTGGTTAGACACTGACAGTTTCCATTCTACATTTCTCATATTTGAGCTAGTACTAATTTACCAGGGCCTTTAACAGAAAGAAATGCTCAAGCCGATGCCCTTTTACTTGCAGTCTTTACAGAGGCATCAGCCTTTTATGACCTGACACATTGTAATTCAAAATGTTTAAAAACCAAGTTTCATGTCACTTTGACTCAAGCTTAACATTGTGCAGACTTGTCCTACACGTCAGATGGTTGTGATAACCACCTCTCCAACAGAAGCTGGGGGAGTTAATCCCTGTGGCCTGAAGCCAAATCAGATCTGGCAGAAGAACATAACTCAGATTCCATCCTCTGGAAAGCTTGCTTATGTGCATGTCATGGTTGATACTAACTCAGAATTTATCTGGGCAACTGCTTTCTCTGGAGAATCTACAAGGCATGTTATTTCACATTTGCGCAGCTACTTTGCTACTATGGGCCTTGCACAAAATATAAAAACAAACAGTGGCCTGGCTTACACTAGTTCTGCTTTTAGGGATTTTTTAAAGGCTTGGTCTAGAAAATATCATACAGGAATCCCCTGTAATCCCCAAGGACAAGCTATTGTAGAATGAGTTATAATATCTCTTAAAGAAATGTTACAAAAACAGAAAGGGGGAGATGGAATGTCACTTCTCCCACAGCAAAAGGTATATAAAGCATTATTCACTCTAAATTTTTTGCTTTAAGATAATGATTTCACTGCAGCAGAATGACATTTTACAAAGGAACAAAAAGAAAATTTCCCCAAACTACCTGTTTGGTGGTATGATCCAGTAACGCACTCATGGCATAGGGAAATCTGATAACCTGGGGAAGCGGTTTCACTTGTGTTTCGCCAGGTGCTTCAGAAACACCTGTTTGGATTCCCTCGCATCATCTGAAACCATATCATGAGTGAACTCCCATAGAAGAGATGCTTCACATAGGACTTCACATAGAGCCCCCCAGTAATGAGTTTCAAGGGTCTGAGTCTGAAACAAATGTAACGATTCCCCTCCCATCGACAAATGGGAACAAGATCCCCACTTGGGGACAAATTAAAAGATTAACACAGAAATCAGAGGAGATCTTAGAAAACAAAGGGAAAGCTGTCACTCCTAACAATCTGGCTGTTGCCATGTTTGCTCTTATTACCACCACAGTAAGTATACACTTAGCAACAGCTGAATCTAAAAATTATACTTACTGGGCATACATACCTAACCCTCCATTACTAAAACCCGTTGACTGGGGGATTTCTATGATCCCCACTTATATTAATGATTCTTCCTGGATACCAGGACCTGAAGATACACACCTTCCTCTTTCTAAACAAGAGGAAGGGACTCCCTTCAGTGTTGCTTATAGGTATGAATCTTGGCCAATTTGTGTAGGACCAGCTACAGGATGTCTTAANCTCTTCGCATCAGGTGGCCAAAGTATTGGAGTTTCAGCTTCAACATCAGTCCTTCCAATGAACACTCAGGACTGATCTCCTTTAGGATGGACTGGTTGGATCTTCTTGCAGTCCAAGAGTCTCTCAAGAGTCTTTTCCAACAGCACAGTTCAAAAGCATCAATTCTTCTGCGCTCAGCTTTCTTTATAGTCCAACTCTCACATCCGTACATAACTACTGGAAAAACCATAGCCATGACTATGCAGACCTTTGTTGGCAAACTAATGTCTCTGCTTTTTAATACCCCTAAGGGGTATGCAGTCTCTAATTGCTCTTATCAAAATCAGTTCTGCAATCCTCACAAAAGTCTGCATTGGCAGGTGCATAGAGTCTTTGACCATACTAATATTACCACTAATTCAGATCATCCAATTATATGGCATGGTAATGGCACATCACCTCCCTTCTCACAATTGGATCAAGGAAGAGGGCAAAGAGAGATTTGGAAATTGGCTTTAAGTCTTAAAAAATTCCAAATTTGGGATGGACATTATTCCAATAAAACTATTCATTGACATTTAATACCAGTACAGACTGGACATTTTATATTCAGGTTTGCATGAAAGATCGTTATGTACCCTTGAAAGGAACAATTTCTATCAATGAAAGTGTACAAGAACTTTCTTGCCAGGATTGCAAATTATATACTTGCTTAAATTCTTCACTTTATAATTCTAATCACTCATTTGTTATATTAAGAAGGAGCTTGGGAATATGGCTTCCAGTAAGTCAATTCAGACCTTGGGAAGACTCCCCTGAAACACATGCTCTTTTAAAGGTAATAAAGAAAGTACTACAATGTTCCAAAAGGTTTATTGGACTCTTTATAGCAGCTATTGTGGGAGTTGTTGCTATAGCCACGACCACAGCAGTAGCTGGGATGGCACTGCATGAAACCATACAAACGACTACATTTGTACAGCAGTGGCACCAAAATGCAAGTTCTGCCTGGGGAAATCAAACCCACATAGACCAAGAAATTAATGAACGATTGATTGATTTAGAAAATGCAGTTCTCCTACTAGGGGACGAAGTACAAAATTTAAAATTACAAATTCATCTTAAGTGTGATAGGAATAGCTCTTCATTTTGTGTCATACCTCATAAATATAATCAAAGTTCATATACTTGGTATCAATTATCTAAACATTTGAGAGGACCCATTCTTAATAATCTATCCTTATATATTTCCCAATTACAGGCTACTATTTCTAATATGCAAAATGTTCACTTATAATTACTCCCAGAAACTGACTTATTTGAAGAAATTGAGGAAAGCTTACATATACTTAACCCCATGATGTGGATTAAAACTTTAGGAGGAAGATTGCTGGTACTATAATATCAGGATGTATATTTTTAACTGTTTTGTGTCTAGTCCTCAGATGCATGAGAGAAACTATCTGAGAATTGATGAAGAAAGAAGTTGCTTGGATGGCATATCTACTCCTGCAAAAACAAAAAGGGGGAGATGTAGTGGGAATTCCTAATAATGTACTTTCACAGCCTTGAGAAATTTCACAGAAACAGCACCTGGAAACACAGCATGTTAGAAACTGTGTTAATGATTATCTTTCATTTTTAAGAATAATTGCTTTGTTATAAACCCCAAGGCCAGACTCAGAAGGGCATATGACTGGGTTCATGAAAGCATGGACCTTGGACACCAGCTCAGCGCCAGACATGAACACTGCCTATGCACTTGCTAATTGTTCCTAAGACTAGCCCAGAAGGGAACGGCCTGGGGTAAACACAAGGAGATCTGGACTATGTCACTGTAGTCCATGACACTTAGGAGTACGTGATTAAGACAGTGTGTGTCTTGAGAAAGATAAGCTCTGAGAAAGTCTTGTAGTCTGCAATTAGGAATAAAAGCTGGACTAAGAGTGGACTCTGCACCTCAGTCCAATAGAGGCTGCAGGTTCCCTGACCCATTGCACCAGATTTTGTGTTCTGTCTTCATTCTCATCACTTGCTCCCAGACCATTAGGACTACACAGTTGTTCTAGTACTATTTGTTATATAAAGGCTATCTTTATTGAATTGATTTTGTGCCTTTGTATTTGTTTTATGTCTACTTCTGGATTGTCTATTCCTTTCTCTTGATCTATGTGCCCATCCCTCTGCCAATACCACCCTGTCTTGTTTATTGTCATTCTATAGGATGTCAATATTGGGGAGAGTGACTCATCCTCATCCCACTTTACCTTTTTAAAATTGATTTAACTATTCTAGGTCTTTTCATATAAATTCTAGAATAAACTAACCTATATCTACCAAAAAAAAAAAAAAGCTTGCTGAGTTTTAATAGAATTTCAATTTGGGGATAATTGATGTCTTTACTATCTGAGTCTTCCAATCCATGAACATGTCTCTCCATTTTTAGGTCTTTATTGTGGGTTTAATTGTGTTCCCCAAAATATTCAAATCTTAACTCTCAGTACCAGTGAACACAACTTTATTTGGAAATAGAGACTTTGCAGATACAATCAAATTAAGGTGCAATTATACTGGATTAGAGTAGGCACAGCTCTAATGACCAGTATCCTCATAAAAGACAAGTATGACCTAAACACATAGGGAAAGCCATGTGGAATGAAAGGCAAGGTTGGAATGATGCATCTATAAGCCAAGGAACACCTTGGATTACTGATACCTATCAGAAGCTGGAAGGGGCAAGAAAGAATCATCCCCCAGGGTCTTTAGAGAAAGCATGGCCCTGCCAATACCTTGATTTTAGACTGTGTGAAAATAAAGTTTAGTTGTTTTAAACTAAATTTGTGGTAATTTGTTATGGAGCCCTAGAAAACTAATATAGTCATTGATTTCTCTTATTAGAATTTGCAATTTTGGGCATACACATCTCATACATGTAAGTGTATAAGTGTTTCATTTTCTTTGGATAAGTTATATATGGTGTTTTTGTTTTTACCTATTTATCGCTAGTACATACAAATTGTGTGTGTACATATACGTATATATAAATCAATATGCAAATTATTAATATAATTAGTTCTACAGCAAAGTCACAGATTATAATATCAATATAATTTGTATATGGATTACAAATAATTTGTATATTGATCTTGTATTCTATGATCTTGCTGCAGAACTAATTAATTTATTCTTAAAAGCTTGTTTTTTTTGTACATTCCTTAGAATTTTCTACATAGACAAATCATGTTGGCTATAAGCGGGGACAGTTTTTTTTCTTTTAGTCTATATGCCTTTTTTCTCTTCTTGCCTTATTTTGGTGGCTGTTACTTTCAGTGCTGTGTTGAGTAAAAAGTGGTGCAAGCATAGGAGGAAACATTCGATCTTTCACCATTAAATATTATGTTAGCTATAGGTTTTGTGTAAGTGATCTTTTTTAAATAGAAGGAATTCCCCTCTGTTCCTAACTTCCTGAGGTATTATGTTTTTTTAATCATGAATGGATGTTGGATATTATCAAATGCTTTTTCTGCAGCCATTGAACTTTTTCTGAGGCAGTTAATCATAGTATTTTTCCTCTTCAACCTGTTAATATGATTTTTTAAAATGCCAAACCTGTCTTGTATACCTATAATAAATCCCACCCAGTCATGTTGTATAACTTCCTTGCTGTATTTGATTTGCTAACATTTTGTTGATGAGTTTTGTGTCAAAATTTATGAGTTTTTCCCCCTAGTCTTTGCCTCATTCGGGAATCAGTGTAATAATGGCCTCATAAAATGAGTTGGGAAGTGTTCCTTATATTTTCTGGAAGAAGTTGTGTAAAATTTGTGTTCATTCTTCAAATGTTTTTGAAAAACATTTCAGTGGAGCCACCTGGGTCCAGGGATTTCTTTTGGGGGAGCTTTATGATACAAATTCAATTTCTTTAATGGTTATTTGGGATAGCTTTCATTTTAGTTGAGATTTAGTAGTCTGTGGGGTTTTGTCTTTGTTTTGGGGTGGGTTTTTTTGTGTTCTGTTTTTTCCCTGCCACGTGGCTTGCAGGATCTGTTTCCTAACCAGCAATTGAATCTAGGCCATGGCAGTGAAGGTACCAAATCCTAGCCAGTAGACCTTTTCCTTAATAGTTTGTGTGTTTTGAGAAATTTAGTACAATTAGTTCTACACTTGAAATTTTTCAACACCACTCCCCTAATAAAATTTTTGAAGATCATTATGTGAAGCTGGTAGCATAGCCCTAGTTTCAAAGTCAAACAGGAGCAGATAATAATAGATTTTTGCTGTAAATGATAATAAATACTCTAGGTAAAATATAAATAACATCTAACATACAATTAAAAGAATACAAAGGAATACCACTTTCCAGAATGTCTAAGATTTATCTTTTCTAGATTAATTCCAGAGTTTAGGAATTATCTTTCCAAGAAATGTTTATGATGGAAAAATGACTTGACACAGCCTCAAGTCATTTTCAATATCTTAATGTGTGGTTTTGGAATATGATATGTTTTTCAAGCTTCTTTGAGGGTGACCCAAATAAAGAAATACATTTTACATGTTATTTCCAGTATGAAAAAAATTTTAATTAATATTTCAAATAATACTGTTTCTTGGAGAAGTTCACTGAAACCACATTTGATTGAATGCTTAATACTTGGCTTAAGACAAATGCACACAATTAAAAACAATTCTGGTATACAAAAAATAATCTGAGAAATTTTTTCTTTTTTTTTTTTTTGATAGATTTTGTTAAATGATTTCGAAGTTTCTTCATCATGAAATTTGGGGTTTTTTTCCTTGAAGTTCAGTTCAGTCACTCAGTCGTGTCCGACTCTTTGTGACCCCATGAATCGCAGCACACCAGACCTCCCTGTCCATCACCAACTCCTGGAGTTTACCCAAACTCATGTCCATCAAGTCGGTGATGCCATCCAGTCATCTCATCCTCTGTCATCCCCTTCTCCTCCTGCCCCCAATCCCTCCCAGCATCAGGGTCTTTTCCAGTGAGTCAACTCTTCGCATGAGGTGGCCAAAGTATTGGAGTTTTAGCTTCAGCATCCGTCCTTCCAATGAATACCCAGGACTGATTTCCTATAGGATGGACTGGTTGGATCTCCTTGCAGTCCAAGGGACTCTCAAGAGTCTTCTCCAACACCACAGTTCAAAAGCATCAATTCTTCGGCACTCAGCTTTCTTCATAGTCCAACTCTCACATCCATACATGACCACTGGAAAAACCTTGAGGTAGGAACTCTTTATTTTCTTTTTAGATATAATTGACATAAGTGCTACTTTAGTTTCAGGTATATAACATGTTTATTCAATACTTGCATATATTTCAAAATGATCACCAAAATAAGTCTAGTTAACATCTGTCACTAGATGGAGAAATTGTGGGAAAAGGGAACCCTCCTATACTATTGGTGGGATGTAAATTGGTGCAGCCACTAGAGAGAGCAGTATGGTGGTTTGTTAAAAAGAACTAAAAATAGAGCTACCATATGATCCAGCAATCCCATTCCTGGGCATATATCCCAAGAAAGCTCTAATTCAAAAAGATACATGCACCTCAATGTTCAGAGCAGAAATGTTTACAATAACCAAGATATGGAAGCAACCTAAATGTTCACTGACAGATGAATACATAAAGAAGATGTGGTACATGTATACAATGGAATACAACTCAGTCATAAAAAGAGATGACAATGCCATTTGCAGCAACATTGATGGACCCAAAAATTATCATAATAAGTAGGTCAGAAAGAGAAAGACTATAATACTATGTGATATCTCTTATACATGGAATCTAAAATATGACACAAATGATATACAAACCAAACAGACTCAGAGAGAATAGATTTGTGGTTACCAAGGGGGAGGGGGATACAGGAGGGATGGAGTGGGAGTTTAGGATTAGCAGATGCAAACTATTATATAGAGAGTGGATAAACAAAATGGTCCTTCTGTATAGCAAGGGGAACTATATTCAATATCCTGTAATAGGGAATTATCCAGCACTCCAGTGGTTAGGATTCCATGCTTCTGCTGCAGGGGCACAGGTTTGAGTCCTGGTTGTGGAACTAAGATCTGGCAAGCTGCATGGTGCAGCCAAAAAATAACAATATCCAGTAATAAGCCATAATGGAAAAGAATATGAGAAAGAATATATGTAGACATATATTTAGGGCTTCCCTGGTGGTTCAGATGGTAAAGAATCTGCCTGTGATGCAGGAGACCTGGGTTCAATCCCTGGGTCAGGCGTATTCCCTGGAGAAGGGAATGGCAACCCACTCCAGTATTCTTGTCTGGGAAATCCCATGGATAGAGGATCCTAGCAGGCTATAGTCCATGGAGTCACACAGAGTTGGGCACGATTGAGCAGTTAACAAGAAAGAAAGAAGGTACATATAACTGAATCACTATTGTACAGCAGAAATCAACACAACATTTTAAATCAACTGTACTTAAAACTTTTTTTAAAAAGCATAAAAATTAATTGCCTGATTATCCAACTTAAAATGTGGGGGGAAAATGGCAATAAACCAAAAGAAAGTACAAACAATGGGCTAATAAAGATAAGAATAAAAAATAAACCTATATACTGGAGATTAACAAGGTCCCAAATAGGTGTTTGTGTTATCATATACCAAAAACTATGTTAATCAAGAAATCAATCTGATTATTCATTAGAAGGACTGATGCTGAAGCTGAAGCTCCAATACTTTGGCCACCTGATGTGAAGAGCTGACTCATTAGAAAAGACCCTGATGCTGGGAAAGATTGAAGGCAGGAGGAGAAGGGGATAACAGAGGATGAGATGGTTGGATGGCATCACTGACTCAATGGACATGAGTTTGAGCGAACTCCAGGAGATGCTGAAGGACAGGGAAGCCTGGAGTACTGCAGTCCATGGGGTCACAAAGAGTTGGACACGACTGAACAACTGAACAACAATAATCAAGATCATGCACATATTACAGGAAATAATAAATTAATCAACAGATTGAATAAAGACCCTCCCCCATCAGTTCCATACATATATGTTAATCTAATTTATGACTGTCAATAAGAAGGGAAATGATGGACTTTTCATGTTCTGGAACAAT